TACGAAATAACTGTGTACTCGGACCTAAGAGGTGAAATCAGGAAATATAGAATCTGTACTTTGGCAACTTCCCTGAATGATTTGATGGTGTCAATTTATCAAATAGCATAAAACTAAAGGACTTAAACTTTTATTTGATAGAATTTCTGCAAAAATGACCAATTTTGGCATTTTATGGTCAAAATAAGCATTTCATAGCTTTTTCAATTTTGATGCATAAGTGGCATTCTGACTTTCTATCTGACAGGTTTTTATGTGTCAATATTTGTGTTTCTATGTTTCAATCCAGTTGTATTACTCATTTGTGAACTCTGAATCTACAGAAAAGAAGATTATCTCAGACAATATGCGCAAAATGTGTTGTATATATGATCATCGTCTAACGCCCTGTTTGGATCAAGTTAAATGTGAGGAGCTTGGAACATAAAAGTTGAAGTCCATTATAAAGACCTCACTAAATTTGTATAAAAAGCACTTAACAATGTCTTTTGTACCTGTTTTATGTCACAAAATACCTTTCTTTTCTTCTGTAGGATAGCAAGTGGTTCAAATATAAGCCTGTTGAGACTAAAATTGCATGCATGTTTTTCACTAAAAAGTGAAAAATCTTTGTATCAGACCATACTGTCTGCAAAAAAAGTTGAATGCAAGAGTCTTTTTGTGCTCAGATTTATTGTATCATGTCACCTGAGTATAGAAATGATAGAAAAGACACAAAATTTTATTTCATATAGCTTCAATATGCATTTTTAAATGTAAATATGTGATACGGCCTAAATTGACCCTAAATTATTTTCAGTCTTACTTGGCCTAAGACCCTTTTAAGCTAATGTGATATGTTATTTGTAAGTTTTCTTTCCATTTAAAGTACATTAAATACATATGTAAGGATTATTTATAACCAAAAAGCTTTACAAATTTAAAATTGCTGGAAAATATTACATCTTCATGTAAGGCCCCCCTTCATTGGAAAACCTCCATTTTTAGCCACAGGTTCATATAAATTTGACTTTTTAATAATTATGATAAGTCTGATGAATCAAATGAGTACTCTATTGCTTTCAATACATAATATATTATATATTAAGGCATTTCAAAAGTATTTTTTTGCAATATTTTAATTTTTTAAGCCTCAATTGTTGATAGTTGAAAATTTTCAATTTTAACGTCTAAATTTAACACTCAAAGTTCAATATAGAATTAGTCATATTGTCTATAATATATATCCTATTGCCATGAAACTTTGTAAGCAGTCTTATAATTTAATAAGCTTTAGTCATACCAAGTTTCATTAAGATTGGTCAACTTTTTCTACCCTATTAGGTCCGGGTACACAGTTATCGTCCTTTGATTTTCGTTGTCCACGAATATAGTCCCTAGTGTGGACAGTGTGTTACTTGTCGATTTTTTTTATACCCCTTCCGAATTTATTTCTCCATGTTTTATGACTCAAATAGTAAGTAGGGGGGTGAAATGACACTGTAAAAAAATTTGGGTCATGAATTTTAAAGTAAAGTAGTGATTTGGTCCAGCTGAAAAATGTTAAAAATTAGCACATCGGAAGCTGTCAAAAGATTTGAAGACCCCCTTAGCATGAAATTGTCCATATTTTGAGTTAGAGCCGATGAAGTTTTCTATAATTTTGATATAATTTGTCCCAAAAGTAGTACAACACACTGTAAAAATATTATTGAGAAAGCGCAGGTGGGATTTTTTTAATTTCCATTTATTGTCTAAAAGAAATGCACTACGAAATAACTGTGTACTCGGACCAAATGGTGGCTGGGCGGTGGAAAAAATGAATGATATGATTAAAAGAGAGGCCAAATTACCAAAGGGACATTCAAACTCATAAGTAAAAAAAAACTGACAGCGCCATGGTAAAAAAAAACGAAAAACGAATAAAAGATAAACAGTATATAATACACAACATAGAAAACTAAAGACTTCGCAACACGAACCCCACCAAAAAAAAGAGGTGATCTCAGGTGCTCTGGAAGGGTAAGCAGATCCTGCTCCACATGTGGCATCCGTCGTGTTGCTCATGTAGGGACAAACCCGATGATAATTCACATTCGGTAGGTTACATTTGAAGAAAAGAGGACGGGATTTTGGCTTCGATAATTGAAACATATCCGTCGTCAACTTTAAACAGATATTCCATAACAGTCAACCAACTCGTGATGGCGTCCATAAAATTGTCGAAGGGATGATTTCAACTTCACCAGTTGAAACTCATGGTTCAATAGCTTCCTTGTGAGCAGTAACCCTCTATCAAGGAAATCATGATAGGAAATGAAAGCTCTAGGATAACGTACCAACTGGGGTATATAAACTCCATATGCAGGCGCGTCTGTAATTTTGCTACATAGAAATGGAAATTTCACCGTTGGAAAGCTGAAATCATCTGTTTTGTCGTAAAGTTTTGTTCTCATCCGACCCTCATTATCAATTTCTAGATGTAATTTAAGATATAAGGCAGATTTAACAGTATCTGTTGAATCCTTTATTTCAAGTTCGATGGAATAGATACGTTCAACATAGTCACCAAACTATGAATTAATTAGAGAGGACGTCATCTATATATAGTGGAAATTGAAGTTAATGGTATATGATTTCGACTGTTAGCTTAATTACTAGTTTTGAGTGCTTGGCGTTTATGAATTGACTATCCTTTTAGATTAAAAATATAACTTTTAAGATAAATACCATGAGGAAAATAAATCGAGAATGTGTCCATGGGACACAGGTGATGCCCCCGCTTGCATATGACGTTATAAAGGGACATAACTAAAGACGCAACCTTAATTCGAACTTGATCTGTGTTTTAGGGTACTAAACATTGTGTATAAGTGTCATAATATTTGGTTGAGCCAAACTAAATTTGGAGAACAGAAACGAAAAATTCAGCAAGTTTTCCATTTATAAAGGGGCATAACTCAAGAACGGTAAAAGTGACGCCACTTGGTTGATGCAAACTAAAGTGAGGGAACGGAAACTAATTTTGGGACTTATGGACGGACGTTTAAGTGGACAAGGGTAACACTTAATGCCCCCTCCGCCACGTTAGGGGCATAAGAACCTTATGGTTACTAATTGTCTCTAACTCAGCGATATCGTATTTGTCTCCTAGATAAGCGTCTTCTATTATGCATGCATCACCAGGCAAGCGAACCAAGACTTTTACAATCGGGAATAAACCACAATTCACAAATTGATAAATTTACAAACCAAGCGAGGAAATCGATCCCACAACACTCGAAGTACGTACGTTGAAATTTTTCACCACCTAGTTTGGGTACTATGACGTTTATCAATTTGCACACATCCAATGTATTTCTAGGGAAGACACCCCCCTTCCGAGACCACTTTTGTTTTACACATTCGGAAATGCATTTGACATTATAGAAACAAAGATACTTATTTTTGACAAGTTAGGCTCATGGTGGCTTTATCATCTTGAGTGTCAAGTTATGTTTGCCTCTTAAGTGAAAACAGATATCAATATGTGATTATATATATAAATAAAAACATTTTTTAAGTTATGAACAGAAAGTGTTATACTTTTAACCTAAATGTTTTTAATATTTTTCTCTGTGAATTACTTGTGAAGTACTACTTGTATATGAATATAAATATAATAATTGTTAGTTTTTAATTGGTCAATTACACCAACAGCTAAAAAGTTCTTATTAAGATATTATATTCTTCAATCAATTAAAGTACATCAATGGTAAATGTATTTAATTTTCTAATGATAAATATAAAAGAATTAGAAGATGTGGTATGACTGCCAATGAGTTTACCACCCATCAGAAACCAGATCACGTAGATACAAGCATATATGTGTCATCGTACGGCCTTTAGCAATGAGCAAAAACTTTACAGTCTTTTCAGGTAACGCATTTCTTTCACGATCAAAATAAGGCGTTGCCTTATCTTTCGCGATCAATTTTGATTAAAAATCAACAAAATACTGCTTTTAAAATAGTAATCTTAACATTTTCAAGGGGAAAAAAATCACTTCCTTTTTACTGCACTGTCTGACAAACAAAAGATTTAGTTTCAAATCTATCATGATTTATTAGAATGTGACAATTATATATCCAAAACGTGCCTTGTCTTTAATGTTCGCATAAGGTTATATGTCGCGTTTTGTGTTTTCGAAAAAAAAACACTGCATTTTTTCTTTATCTAAATGCACAAAATTATTAAGGAAATTGGACCATTTTGACAGACATATTTATTTTTTCTGATTATTCCCGCATGCTGATAGTACAACGGATATTTTCACAAATCCGACCGGAATGATTGACCAACGTTACTTATTCTTCCACGATCTTTTTCCTCTTTGTATACCGAATGACAGCCGTCTCATGTGGACTGTTTGGCTAAAACGGCTGTGTTTTCACCTAAAAATGTACTCTGAAAACAGGCAGATCTGTGTATCTGGAAAAGTTTTAAGGCATAGATAATTAAAATTCAAATGCATTTTATGTATCAGAAAATTAAAAACTTAACTAGATTTTGCAGTGCACTTTCTATCGTTCCTACAGAAGGTGCCAAAATAAACAAAGTTGGGAAAAACGTTTAAGAACTTCCAAATACTACTAATAGGTAATGATTGAAGTGAACTGTATTGATTGACAGTAGTGACAATAGAAGGACAATAGATACCTGACAATAATTAGTGATGTAAACTGTTTCACTGAGTGGACCATATTAAGTAAAACTCAACTGTTTGTTGATTTTATCATCGTCTGCAGGGACGAAAAAAGTGCACTGCAAAATCCAGGTAAGTTTTTAATTTTATAAAACAAAATGCATTTGAAATTTATCTATCTGGGGCATACTATGCCCTAAATCGTTTCCAGATACACAGGTTTGTCTGTACTCGAATAAATTTTGAGGTGAAAACACAGCCATTTTAGACAAAGGGTCCACATGAACCTAAAAGATATTTTGAAAACATATGTGTATGGTTATTATAGAATTCTTACCTTGACCAATTGGTACAATTACTGAACGAAATGTTTGATTACGCTTTGCCAATACACTAAATCTATGTACAACTGGTCGTGTAATTTGTCTGCCTAGTAAAATGACCAATTTTATTATTGGCAATACCATAGTTTCGTGTGCATTGAGGTGGAACAGTAGTATTTAATTTCCGGGAACTAGTTTCTAGGTTTTCCAGACGCTTAACTCTTGCAATGAATCGACATCTCCTCTAGTCTATGATTCAACCTTCCTGCTCAACGACATGAATGAGGGTCTGGTGGGGGACTTCATTTCTGTGTTTTGTTATTTTAGGTCATTTTTCTCTACTCAGTAAAAATAAGCTTATTCTGTAAAATTCTTGTGTTTGGGTCCTACATATGCAAATTACCTGTTATATCATGATTTTACATGATAGTTCTTCTTCTTGTCTAGTTCAACCTCAAGTAGATTGTTATTATTGACGAGTGATAGTTGCTGCTTTGTGTACTTCGCGAATTCCGCCTTAAATAGAACTAACATTCAACTCGACAGCACACTGAGAATGTTGCAAATAGGGGACGTAATTCGCGAAAACAGTATACATACCACCGAGCGGAACGAGGCGATTTTTTTTTGGATGATTTTATGCTAAAAATGATATATATTCTAATCAAAGGGGGGCGAACACTTATGATGTTCAAAGTTGGGGTATGGCGAGCCTACCTTCCATCCCATTGAATTTGTCACTGCACTACACAAAGGACACCATGTTTCGATTTTGATTAAATATCTGGTTAAAACTAAACATGAACAATTTGAATATCTAGGATAATAAGCAGTAGATAGAATTACATTAGGTATATTTGATCATATTTGGTTTCTATTCCTTTTTTATAACAGACATTAGAGAAATCTGGAATCTGATAGTTAGAGATCACAAAAAGCTTAATTTTATCTATTTACATCACTGAATAAAGATCGGGAACTACCCCTACAAGTATGCGGTTGCAATATGTATATTTGTTCTGAAAATAAAAATTCGATCACCTTAACTAGATTTTATCCTTGATGGCCTACATGTAACTGTTCAAACAAATATCCAAAAATTGTCTATCAATCAATGAGGTATGTCCAAGACACAATGTAGTCTCGATATCGACGACATCAACGATATCGAGTCGATATCGACAAATAATGATCCAAATGTTTATCTGCTACATTTTTCTATATAGACAATTTAGTTTCTCCTGGTTCGTCTAATAATGATGTCGATATCGACGACATCGACGATATCAAGTCGATATCGACACATTATGTATCAAATGACTATCTACTACGATAATCTATATAGACAATTTGGTTTCTCCTGGTTCGTCTGTTTTAAGATGTCGATATCGACGATATCATGTTCCAAATGTCTATCTGTTTTACAGTTATGTATATAAACAGTTTTAGTTTCTCCCAGATCGTCTATTTTAGATGTCGATATCGACGATATCGACGACATCGTGTCGACATCGAAAAATTATGTTCCAAATGTTTATCTCCTACAGCTATCTGTGTAGACAATTTAGTTTCTCCTGTTTCGTCTGTTTTAAGATGTCCATATCGACTATATCGACGACATCGAGTCGATATCGACACATGTTCCAAATGTTTATCTGCTACAATTATCTATATAGACAATTTAGTTTCTCCTAGTTCGTCTGTTTAAATATGTCGACGATATCAATTCCATATCAACATTTAAACATTTTCTTCATAATTTGTTTCTCTATTTATTTCTTTTAGTTAGTATACGTACCTTAATTACACACTAAGATAAGGGGATGTTGCACGATTTGCAATGAGACAACAGACCACCAAACACAAAAAGAATGAGGATGTTAACAACTATACGTCACCTAACAGTCTTCACAACAAAGATTAACAATATTACCGGCATAACAAAATATCAAATATTTCAAATGGCAAAAACAAACATCCTGATTTATGTATAAATGATAAACAAAAATCAAAAATGACCGACAGCAACGGACGACAACCACTAAATCAAAGAGCTCCCGACAAGGGTCAATCACAATAAGGATGTTGCGAGGTTAAACTTGTTCGTTAAAACTTCCCTTAAATCTATGACGGTGGCAGGGATGGGGTAATCGTAATCTGTAATCGTAATCGATTGTAATTGATTACATTTTCCCCAGTAATCGACAGTAATCTGTAATCGAAGACATTTTCGATTACATGTAATCGTAATTTAATCGATTACGGCAAAATTTATGATGTAATCATCGATTATTTTTCGATTAAATTTCGATTACTTTGAGATATAACCTATTTTAAATGAAAATATGTATGTACATGATGTATTCATCACTTTATAGTACAGATAAAATAGAATGTATTACATTGTAATATGACTTAAGAGTTCATCAACTGCCTTATTTCTATCTATTATCTCAAGCTGCATTATAATCAACCAGATCCCCTACCAAATTTTACTTGATATTTAGGTTTTGAAACAAATGAACTTATGTGCTTGTCAATAATTCAAGACCTTTTATATTAAAATATGAAAATAGATTTAAGTTAAGAAATGAGTCTTAAGTTAATTTCTGTTCTACATTAAAGTAGTAAGCCTATTTGTATTAAAATTGCTTTAAGTATAATTTTCAATAAGAGTTGGAATTTTAGCTTTGAATAGATAAACAGTAACTGTTGATCTTACAATGTTATGATAAAAAAAGTTGAGAAAGTACACAAAATCCTTTTGACAATGAACCAATGGGTATGCATCTAAATTCTTTTTTTCAGATATAGATACATGTATCCCTTTTTGACACAATAAATATATATTGTTTATAATTTGATTAGAGAATAAAAAAATTAACAAACTTCTTGTCTTTACTAATCAGAAGTTCAGACTTCTAATCAATAAGATGCAGAATTTGTTTTCATTTCAATTATGTCTAATTAAGAAGGAGATTTACATTATTTTTCCCCAGGTTATAAATTGTACTCCATTGACAGTTTTATAACCTGTAATTAGTGTGGTTATCCAAACATAAGGATTAATTCATGTATGTCATTATAATTATTATTTCAATCTTTAAAATTTGCTGAACTAATTAATTATTCTATGGTTTTAATTTTTTTTTCAAAGGAAACTTACAACATTTTAATCATCTATGTTAAAATATACCTGTTTTAACGAGTAAAAACAAAAAAGCTAACTTAAGTAAGAATGAAAGCAAATTTTTGAAAAAACTTACAATAAAAATAACTGATTGATGCATTGCGATGTCATCTCTTATTTATCTTGAAAGCCAAAATTTCAGGAAATTTTGAATATTTCTGACCTTCAGTATGATATTCCATCTAGAAAACAACTGTGAACTTAAAATTTGGTAACAATGCTTTAAATGCTGTTTTTAGTAAAGTTCTAAATTTCGACTATAAAAAACGTTGAGCAACATAATTGTGTATAACTTACTTTATTATTTTTTTTTGTAATTTTGTAGCATGTAATTGACAGTAATCGAAAAGTAATGTAATTACTTTTGATAAAGTAATCGATTGCAATCGATTACAAACAAAAATTAGAGTAATCGATTATTAATCGATTACACAAAAATCCTTCATGTAATCGATTATTAATCGATTACATTTGTCAGTAATCGTGCCCATCCCTGGACGGTGGTATAGCATCAATACATAAAATTCAACAAATAGACAAAATCACAAAGTACCGATCTAAGAGTACTCGAAACTATTCAAATAAAGTTAAAATCTAATTTCAACCAATAGATAAACCATGTTTTCTCTGTTTGAAATGGGAACCAGTTCACATTCCATTGATTTGAATTTTACATAGCAAGTCATGTTTGTACTATATCTGCATTTTTAGATCTTTGTATGCAACCATATCACACTTAGTTAACACCTAAATTACCATGTCAGCCATTGTCAATGTAATATAAGCAAACATTTTATTTTTGGTTTTTTTGAAGGATACATTAATGTGTTTTAAATGGTACATTACTTTGGAGATGTGACCACCTGATTGTCTTTTAAAAAAATAAATAGATTACAATTCAGCCATCATCTATCCTTATATCAATCTTCGATCTTAATTTATATATATAATCAGCTTGTTATGTCTTATTTTTATTCATTATCATCGATATCGAGTCGATATCGAGTCGACATTGTCGATATCGACAATATCAACATCAGGTTTTGTCATTAGTGTCGTCATCAAAATCTACATCTGGTTATGATATAAGTGTATGAGTACATCGATATCGATCCGATATTGTGTCGACATTGTCGATATCGACGATATCGACATCTTGGTATGTCTTGGACGTGTATGTCAATTGTATGATTAAAAAAAAAATTAAAATATATTTAACATTTACTGGTAGTGAAAAAAAATGTTATGCCTAATCGTTTATGAGGCCGGATTTAGTCAAAATTATTGTATTTTAGGAGATTCTGAAATATTTCAGGACCTCCATAATTCAAATTCAGGATATCCATAAATCATTGATGACTTAACAAAATATTTCAGGACCTCCATAATTCGATTTCAGGATATCCTGAAAGATTTAAGAACTCCACAATTCGATTTCAGGAACAACGGAGGTCCTGAATCGAATTACAGAGATCCTGAAATATTGCAGAATATCATAAAAGTCAAAATATGGAGGTCCTGAAATATTTCAGAATATTGTGTTTGATTTTTTTGGGTATATTTTGATATTTGCAACAACGAATCAAGATCTTTTAAATACAATAATTTTGGTTAAATTTGTGTCTCATAAATCATTATGTTAGACAGGCAGAAGTTACCAAAGGTTTATTCTAAGTCGAAACGACCTGACAATGAAAATGGCAAAAACGAAAAACAAAGTAGAAACAAGTTAAAAAAACACAACATAGACAACTAAAGACTGAGCAACACAACACCCAACAAAAACCGTGGGTGATCTCAAGTGCTCCGGAAGGGTAAACAGTCTTTCTTTCATAGCATTTAAAAGACTCCAAAAATAGTCAGTCAGAAGCAATTGAAGTTATATATTAAATAAAAAAAAAGATCAAAACCAAAGCGTCAATCCAGGAGAACAGAAATACAGAGACAAACCAGGGGACAATAAAAAGGAACAATGGCAAACAAGGGACAAATGAACGATAATCACTAGAGACCTGCATTTGACTTACAAATTAAAACTTAATGATTGGTAACATCCTATATGGGGTATATGCTTTCATATATGCTTTATACTACTTCAATAGATACGATCAGATACCTGTACCAGCGTTTTACGTATACAAATATCAAAGATACTAGTACCCCCCCCCCCCCCAAAAAAAAAAAAAAATCAAAGACAATATCATCTGTCCCTGCATCCGTCTTCCAGCCATTTTCAATGAATTGTTGTTTTATATAAAAAAAATAAGGAGACGAGGTATGATTGCCAATAAGACAAGTATCCACCAAAGTTCACATAAGGTGGATGTAAGCAATTATAGGCAACCGCACGGCCTACAACAATGAGAAAAACGCATACCGTATAGCCGGCTATGAAAAGCCCCGACATGAAAATTATGAAACAATTCAATAGAGAAAACTAAAGGCCTAGTTTATAAGAAAACAATTAACGAAAAACAAATATGACAAACATGAACCAACGACAACCACTGAACTACAGGCTCCTGACTTGGGACAGGCACATAATGTATATGGCGGGATTAGACATGTTTGCGAGCGTCCCCCCTCCCCTAACCTGGTACTGTGGTGTAACAGCACAAAATACTATAAAAATCAGTTGAAAAAGGTTTAACTGATCAGATCGACACAAAGAACATGAACACAGACCGGACGTGGCAGGGTTAAATTGTAATGTCTAAAAATCATTGTTATATCACTTGTTTCACATTGCGATACATAAAATTAAACTTTCTTTCAATAAAATTTAAAAGAATTTTGTTTTAAACATTCTTTTTATCATCACACCTAACGTTTTCATTTGAAATAACAATAATTGTGCAGAGCTAATATTATTAAATCATAGAAAAATATATAACATGTAAAACATTTCGATTTTTATTATAAAAAAAAACTTCAAGTTTATGGGGTTATTTCACAAAAAAATATCTTACAAAGGAAAAAATACTCCCACGTTGGTAAAATTTAAGAATAACCTACTGTTTATTCAATGGATAAGATTTGTCTGTGAAAAGAGCTCAGGATAATGAAACAGACTTCTTTCGTATGGCACATCATTTGAATCGTTCAGTCATTTAGAAGACTCGTACGGTAGGTTTGCTTTGGATATTCAAGTATATTACACTACTCAATTGCCTCTATTTAAGTATATTTCTAAAGGTATATCTGAATAACAAAAAGACTTTTCTAAGTGTATAATGCTTTATGTAAAGGGGAAACTGGTACCGTTTATTGGTAGCAAAACATAAACTGAAAATAAATGAATAAATCAAAATAAGTAACAAATTAACAAAACTAAAAACTGTTATTTTTCAATTTTAGTCCATTTTCATAAATTTGACAATTGCTTTCCCAATTTTACTGGATTACCGAAAAGTTCATGCAACTCCCGTTTTTGGAACCTGGATGCATCATTTATATGTTTTTTGAGTTTTTATGTCTTTGCCAATTGGCTGCTAATTCGTGAATGAATACATTTAGTCTGTGTGTTCATCCTTGTGGTTGTAGTTTGGGTATTTCGCTTTTTTTCGCTTTTTTTTTTCTTCATAACATTAGAGGCTATGGTTCGAGTATTTAAAAAAACAAATATATATAGCAACGAAGTGATTATACGTGAATTTGAGCATAGAACAACATATTCTGTATCATAAATGTAAACACAAAGAAGAAAAGGAATAAAGATAATTTATTTTAGGCTATGTGCTAAAAATTGTGTTGTATATCATGCAGTTATAAACAACTGGTAGTCGGTCGTGCATTTCAACTCATTCAGTGGATTGGTCGTTAAATCGCCTAGAAAAAAATGCATCATTTGTAAACTAACACTGATACATGCATGTATTGGCGGGATCATTAGAATGCTAAATATTGCATATCCGTATAAGGAAATCAGATGAGGATCCAGGATTTTGAAAGGAGGAACTAGACAGTGTTAGGAGTGGGACAAATGTTTGTATATGCATTAACCATATAGAAAGCTCCATAAGGTGGGACAGCCCCTAAATTTCTCTGATCTACTGCATATATATACGGATAAGTAACATGTTCCAGAGAGGTATACAGCCAGTAGAAAAATAAATTGAAGTTGGTACTCAAGGAATTTATTCGCATAGCAACATTTTGAACCAATTTTACATCAAGCTTCTATAGCCTGCTGTACTCGTCGTTTGCTACTAAAGGAGGAAAATGATAACATTAAATGAAAGTTTTTTTTTTTATTTCAACTTATTTCTATTTTTACTATTTACCAGAACGTTTTCCCCGTGAATCCATAATTGATAACGTCCTTGTTAAAACGGGACAAACATTGAGAAGATCTAGTTTTTTGTGTTTACAGGGAAGGTACTATTTTGTCACTAGATTTCCTACTGGTAAAGAGTAAGACGACTTGAACCTTTTTTCTGAGTGAAAGTTCTCTAAATCAATCTCTTTAAAACAAATCTAGATCTGCGCATGTTGGATCAGGTTGTAAACAGTCACGTCGATAGGTTGATTACATTTAACGTTTTTCCATTTGAAAAGGAAAGTCTTTTATTTGAATTTCAGCAATGAAATATGGAAATAGCCTTAGTTTAGACCACATGTACAGTACATGTAAGAACTTAGTAACCGGTTTGTCTAGAAATTGGAGAATAGTCTACATTAACCGAGGGTATCACCAGCTGGCATGATAATAGGTCATTGTTTGAATTAGGTTGGGCTTTGCTTTTTGGTCCTTTTTGGTTATATTATCTCATAAATGTTTTTATCAGATTTCGGACGTCCAAATATTTAGCCTCGAGCATCACTGAAGAGACATGCGTCGAAATGCGCGTCCAATATCCTACTGATTTAGTGTGAAGTCGTCATTAACAGTCAGACAAAAAACATAATATGTCTTAATCGTAACTATCGAACCGAAAGGAAAGCAGATATATCTTGGCGCTTTAGCTTTAACGTTCTTTTCAAAAGAAAGGTCGGAGTCAATCCGATTTCTCAACTTCATTCGCTCCAGTTTGACATTGATACGTATAAAATTACAACCTTATTTTCATAAATGTAATACAACCTGAATGTCATTTGCAGCTACAATATTCCACCCAGAGTTCGACTAAAAAACCTATTTGATGGGAATTAGTTTTGTTGATAGTTATAGAATATTTATAACATCCATTTGCGCACCTTTCCTTTTTACTAATATAGTTTTATATCTTTTCTGTGGGACCAATACATAAACGCTCACTTTGCATTTAACTTTATCGTTGTTGTTGCTGTGAGATAATCGCGTACGTCTTAGTCGATTCAAAATGTTAGAAAATATAGCTTGATATAATACGATTTTTTATGACGAACGATAAGGAAATACCAAAAGATAATTTGATTGTAAAAAATGCGGCTAATGTAGCAATATGTACAGTTTGAAAGTACCCCCAAAAATTACCATTTTATATCATCTTGCTATAAACAGCTGAACTCAGTGTAAAATATCGACAAATATAATGCCTACCCATGTTAAAATGAGCATAGAGCATGACATGAAGGAATTATATCGATTCTAATAGGACACTATAGGAATTATTTCTTAGGCGATTGTTCCAAATAAAAAGCATGTATCTTTGGCTTAGTACTTTTAAGCTTATCTATATTACTACAAATTGTGACAGGATACTTCCTGCTGGAAACAGTTAGAATTTCTTAGATTATAATTGTGCCTTTGTTCATAAGGTTATTATAGAACCGACGTGCAAAATACAACTAAGTATGGATCGATATAAAATAAGGAGATGCCAGTGGTATGATTTCCAACGAGTCAAATATCCACCAGGGTTCAAATGATGTTGATGTAAGCTATGTAATCTGTACATTTCAGCACGGAAAGGACAAGATAAATATAACATTAAAAATTTCATAAAGCCATTCTATTTATTGTACAGTTATGTTCTATTAGTTTACAGTGTCATCCATAGTATAAAATTCATCATTTTTAAACATTATTCAATAATTAAGAAAAATACAAATAGTACAAATCAGATGGATTCTAATACTTACTTTTAAAAAATATCATATACGCCACCAACAAACTATGATTATATATGCTTTATTGAAACAGTGTATTAACTGAAACCCAACTATGATGGGAAGGAAGCCCTTACTATGTTAAGTATTTCTCCAGTTGCATATCACTCTTCCGTCCAAATCAACGCCACCTCACTCCAAAATCATTCCCCATATTTTCATTCACTGTCTATTCTGCCAAAAATCAATATAGGTTTCTGTGAATATTTCAAAATTTTAAACAAAAGAGCACCTATGGGTGTTTAAGCTACAAGCACGAATAAAATAATATTGTAAATCTTTTTCGTTAATAAGTTGCAGACGTAAATCTGGACTTTGTGTATTATGCATTGACAAACACTGTCTGAAAAATGTAAAGCTGGTACCGTAAAGCTCGCTCCATCCTCTAACAATATGATGAACTGTATCCCCATTAGTGCTCACGTGATCTACGTCCGCGTTTCCATCATATTTCCACGTGGTCACAATAGTGGCAAACGGATATTTAAAAGGATTCCTTGTAGTTATAATGTCTTTAAAAATAACTTCAGTTTGTTGCCATATAGACTTTATTACAATAGAACATGAACCATTATCTTTAAATGTGACGAATAACTTTTTTGCCTGGGGTGCAATGTCTATCTTTGATATTGAAGCCATTGGAAAGTTTTGACTTGGATCATTTTGACCAATTATTATTGATGAACCGTATGGAATTTCAGTTAGACGGTGTGGTGGAATCGGCAAAATATGCATTTCTCCTTGCCTAGATAGTTTGACAATTGGGCTATAGATGTTGGTCCATGGAGATATATGTGATATTACTATTTCCGAAACATTTAGAAATTCCTGACTAGTATCTACATTCCTGACTGTCATTGTTTTTTGTTTTATATCCGTCCTTTCAAATACGTCCGTGAAAACTTCAATTTTCAATGCAGGATCTATATATAGAACCTCGCGGTGCTTTGTATTTATCGCTTGATATTCTAACTTTATAAATTCGATTGTTATAGATTTTATTTCAGAAGGATAAGTAAAAATATAAAACAGAATTTCATTCTGAACCGACCAACTCTGTTTTGGTATTATCCATTCATGCTTAGTTTTTTGTCGACTAAAGTATGTACTGTTCAGTGCCATCCATACTCCTTTAGCATTATAGGAACCTGATACAAGAAATATGTCCACCACTTCTAAAAATTTGAGAACAAGTCTGTAATTAACATCATACTCCTTTATATTGTTAAATGATAGATTAATGAAAAGAGACCTCGATGTACTTGATCGGCCGTGTTTAATACCAACACCAGAGTACATATCTGTGGTCAACGTGTTATTTTGTGATTTGAGTTTGATATCTAATAGTTCCCATACAGTTATATTGCCTTCATTGCAAAGTATGTCTTCATCGTGAAAATTATTTTCAAAAGATTTGTACTTAGGGTTCATTGCAGTGACGACAAACATGCGCACTTTTTTATGGTAGATTGGTAGGAATAAATTTTTGTTACTACTCTGGCATGATGATCGCAATGTTCTTCTTTTCAGCACTGCAGGTGGTATATCGTGACGATTCTTTCCATTTGAATACACGATATTACTGTCAATGTAAAATGAACATTTAAATGATTCTTCTATTAAATAGTTGTCCGTCGTTTTGATGGTAAGTTCGTCTAATTCAATTCCGTAATAATCAGTGTAAATGATATTAACGGATAAAACATGTTTACCAGAAGATAGAGTCATAGCTGGGCCAATTTGTTCAGTATAAATAAAATTGTTCCATCCGTGACCACCATTTCTATCAAATTTTGTCTTTAAATGGCCTAGTTGTTTCCCATCTACACTAAATACCACAGAGTCTCCTCCTCCATCGTTCGAATACCTCACACTCCGTAGGCGTACCTCAGTTGTGTTGCGTAAACAAAAATATATGGAAAAAGAATCTCCTGTTTTAAAGAGCGCCGATTTCTGTGCAGATGCTCGGCTCCTGCTCATAATAAACTTATCCACAACAAAATTTTCAATTTCAAATGTGAAATATGAACCTTCACATAAATAACACAGCTGCTGAACCAATATCAAAGAGATACTTACAAATACAAACATCTCTGCAGTTATTTGTAATTAACTTACTATATAATTCAATATTACCTCATCAGATAATGATTTATTAATAAAGTACAGGTGAACATTTTTCTGTAAAAAATGAAGTTAGTGATTAATTGTGTATTATATGACATTTGATTTTAAGGCCGAGAAGATTGGTTTTCTTTCTCGTTGGTTTTGTACCGTAAAACGACAACTGACAATTTTAAATTAAAATGATTTCGCTCAATAGCAAATCTTCTTTAGAATGTTTTTTTTTTTGTTTTTGTTTTTTTTTTGGTTTTTATGGAATATCAGTTGAAGAAGTACTACTATTTTTCTTTTTATATTTGAATGAGAATAGGATTCATTTGCTTATTTGAGAGAATGTAGTGGGTAGGAGAGAATTTGAAAAAAATGTTTTTTATAAAAACATTATCCTTACCTTATGAAGTTTCTGCTTGTTGCCCTTTTGAACTGCCCTTCAATATCATATCTCGTAGGGACAGGCGTAAGAATCAAGCATATTCGTATGTTTCTTTCACTCAAGCACAATTATAGTATATAATTCAGGAATGAAAATTTGACATGTTTTGAAATTTGCAAATATTTGCATTTACATTGAAAAAGCTTCTAACCAATGAGCAATCAGTCTCAATACTTTGTTCCATTTAGACTAAGGGTACACATATCTAGTATAACAAACGATTTTTGACTCTCGAATGTGACGAGTTCGGTGAAACTAACACGTGGAAAGGCCCAAGACCGACAAATCTCACTGAGGACAGGATATCTTCCTGTGTCAGTTAATTGGCTATTGATGGCATTTGGGGCGTTTAAAGGTATTTTCTCAGTATGAGCGTGTGTGGAGAATAGACTGATTCTCTCCCTTCCAACATATATATAACCATAAAGGACTAAAAAAAGTGATCATATTTACAGCACTTTTGTCAATGAACACTTACTCTATTGCTTATATATTACTCCTAAACGACATGATATATTTTCTTGATCAAATGACAAATTGTGCTCCTACACATTTTTAAATCAACATCTACAATAAAAGATGACAATAAATGAGAATTATATATGAGGATTTATGTATCAATTTTATTGCTCATAGAGAAGACTAAAAAAAGATAAATACATCTTCTATTTATTGGAACTGTACATCAACTGCTTTCTTCTCAGATATAAATATGACATATATCTCCACAAGCTTTCCCTTTTAGAAAATTGTATTACTGCATCGAAATTTAACATATTAAAGTATTTTCCATCAAATTTGAATCTGTTACGATATTAAGCTGATCCAGTTCAATTCCGTAATAATCTGTGTGACTTACATTGACAGAAATAAAATGTTTACCAGATGTTAGGGTTAAACTTGGGCCTTTAGGATAGTAGTGCATGAACTCGTCCCATCCATGACCAAAATTGTTATGATACGTTGTCGTTAAATTGCCAAACAGTATGCCATCTAAACGAAACTCTACATCGTCATCTGACCCGTCGTTAGAATATACAACACTCCTTAGTTTAACTTTGTTAAGTTTCGTAGACAAAAGTTAATGTTGAAATAATCCCCTTCTTTGAAGTGAGCTGATTTTTGTCCATATGCTGAATCTCTTTTCATAACAAATCTATCACCAACGTAATCTTCAATTTCAAATGATACAAGAGAATCTCCATACGAAAATGACAATTGATATAACAAAATTAAAGCATATTTTACAGATACGTACATCTCGAAGTTAAAATCGTTTTTCCTCAAACTACAACGAATTTCATTTCAAAATATGGTGTTAAATATTATGTTCATTTATTTAATTAGGTAAATACAGGTAAATCACCGCTTCTTTAAAATTGATCAACTTGATAAATGACATTTCATAATTAGGCCAAAGCCAATATTTGTCTTGTTGCTTGCTCTTCAAAGGCTAGTATCAACTAAGTGAAGCTAGGTGCATCGCCATTTTATCTTTATTAATTTAGTTGTTATGGAATATATAAAAAAAAAAACATTGAAAGTAAACAAAATCCAATATTTTTTGACAATTGTTTCCAAAATGATACGGGATTGATATTACTTTCTTTCAGGAATGTTAAGTTTAAATGATTTAATGTTTTGATTGTCCTTTAAACACAACGGTTTTTGTAATTTCAAAATGTAATCCTTCAGTTTTAAAACCGCAAATATCAAATTTACTACCTTTTTTAATAAGTCTTGTGCAATCATGATGAAATTTCAATATATGAAGCCAACGGTACATATAAAATGATATGCATTTATTTACCCATTTCCCACAACAAATTTGTCCAAATACTGTATGCTGGCGTAAATCTTTAGTTACCGTTTGCAAACTTTAGAAAGCGATTGCAAGACCTACAGTTATTTCTTGGTAAATGAAAATGTAATAGAGTGTAATTCAATTGAAACATTTGGTAAACGGTTAAACACTTAACATAGTATCTGACAGAACAAATAGATATTGGCACATTGCTGACGTACTACAGACTGGAGTACTGGTGGGTTAAATCAGATGTCAAACCGCGTATTTTTTCTTCTTCTTCTGGCTTAGCATTTTCTAGCGCTGTTATTGAGAAAATTAGAATAGGATTTCGAACACTTATTACGCTTTGGACAATAATCATTCGGACCGAAATTTTTCTTTGTACGAGCAATCTTTACTGTTTCGATGTGGAAGCGTTTTATTTGTAACCAAACTGGGTTGTTTTAGATTGTTCGTTATATCTTCAGGGAGCAATCCAGTGAATTCTTATAGTTCTCTCCCTTCACAATTTTAAGTGTAATTAATTGACTCATCATAGATACCAGGCTTAATATTTTGTACGCCAGACGCGCGTTTCGTCTACAAAAGACTCATCAGTTACGCTTGCATCAACAAAGTTAGAAAGGTCAAATAAACTCCTAAGAAGAAGAACATTAAGGGTCCAAAATTCCGAAAGTATTTGACAATTCAGCTAAATGTAATCTATTCCTGGGGTCGAAAATCCTTCGTATTTCGAAAAATTCAAAGTTTTGTAAACAGTTAGTATATAATTATAAACATACCAATGGCAATTCATTTAAACACAGAAGTGCTGACTTCTTGGCTGGTGATATCCTCGGGTGAAATCCTCTATCAGCTGAGGCTTCAATCCATGTTGGTGAAACGTTTTATTCGTTAGTTAAAAAGACATAGCGTACTTAAAGACATATCGAACTTGGAAATAAGTTCAAGATCGAAGATCAATGCTATTTCTAAATTTTTATATATGCATGAACACATCTGCTCTGAAACTGAAAGGTAGATTTGAATAAACTGGTGAAAAAATGTTTGTGTCATTGGAGATGCAGAATGGAAAATTCTGATCTGAAGCAATCGCATGTCTTTTCAGAGGAGGTATTTCCCTTGGTATGTTAAAATCTTTATTTAACGCTATGGTGTCTTTTCAAAATGGTAGGAGATATTTGATGTTGTACAAAAAAAATATACAATAGCAAACTACATTTTAGTATTGATCTGATGAGTCAAGACTTTTCAATCCGATTTTTATAGTTTGTCTTATGTCGTTTAGTTAAACCGTTGTCAAAGATTATGAGAGGGATGAGCGTTCACAAACAAGTTAACTCCGTCACATTCTTTATATGCCTGTCCCAAGTCAGCAACCTATAACTCTCTGGTTGTCGTTGGTTGAATTCAGCCTGATTTATCTTCGTTGTTTCTTTTAGAAAAGATCAGGCCGTTGTTCTGGTTTTGTCTTTTGAATTATTTCGCATTTTGTCATGTCGGGACCTTTTATAGCTTACTATACGGTATGGGATTGCTCATCGTTCAGTGAAATGAGACTTTAAACATCCATAAATGAATTACTACAAAGAGTATGTGTCATTTGTTTTAACTATTTCAAATAAACAAAGTACGAATTATTTGTAAATATCGAGTAAAAAAACTAGATATACTATATAGTAGGTGTACGCGAGGACTGTGACCGTGTGCTTTGGAATTGTTGTTTGTTTAAATGCATAACGGGTTTTCGTGTAATATAGAGAATGTACAATGCTTGTCAAGAATCCCTTCAACTTTTGTCTTTATAAGCATGATATGCTTACTTTAAAGCATTTTTTTAATGCAGAAAAGTTTTTTCAACCCCGCTTGTATACGTAGAAAAGTCCAGAATCAACTGTCCAGTTGCTACCCCGCGTTACTAAAATATTAAATATTGAAAGACTATTTTTGTAGCTTTCATAATAAAAAAAGGTAAAAACTTTTTTGTACATTCAATTCATATTGAAAGCCTTAACCAGTAATATTGCTGCACTATGTCTTACACAATTATGTATATGGATCGTCAAACATTAAGTTGAGTCAACCTTGTCCAAATTCGAGCGTAACTGATGAGTTTTCTGTAGACGAAACGCGCGTCTGGATTTCAAATTATAAGCGTGGTATCTTTGATGAGATTTGACAACCACTTAGTCGATGCCACTTCTGGTGGACGTTTCGTCACCTAGGGTATCACCAGCCCAATAGACGGCACTTTTGTGTTGACATGAAATATCATTGATATGTTCATTTTCTGTAAATTAACTGTTAATATAATTTTGAATTATTCTAAACACGAAGGTTTTTCTAGCCAAAGCTATACATGCCTTAGTCCTATTTGGCACAACCTTTTGCATATTTAGTTTTCAATGCTCTTCAATTTCGTATTTGATTTGGCCTTCCAACTGTTTTGATTCGAGCGTCACTGATGAGCCTTATGTAAACGAAACGGGCGTCTGGCGTACAAAATTATGAGCTTGATATCTTTGATGAGTTTTCACTTCTGGTTTCGTGATTTTAGATAAGTATATTAGCAGCTAGGAGGCTAACGATAAATATACTATTTTTTGAGTTCTCAAC